TTTATTTATTTAATCACGAAGTCAAATTCTCCCACTGAATATCTGCCATCAACAGACTGTCTTTACATGTGTGTGTGTTTCAGCGTGTCCTCAGGGTTTCTATGGGCTCGACTGTCAGGAGAAGTGTCTGTGTCTGAACGGCGGCGGCTGTGATCACGTCAGTGGAGTTTGTTCGTGTCCTGCCGGATGGATCGGTCCGTTCTGCAACCTGAGTGAGTGACAGGCCCTGACATCTCTCTGCCATTATGAAAGAAGCTGGAATCAGAAACTTATATTGTTCATTTAAGACATTTCTGGATGTTTTTAGCGCTGACTCACACTGGAACAATCCCACTCTTAGTCCCTGAGTTATCTGGGGAAACCCAGCGCAGGTCATACATGAGAAAATGTGGACTTGATGTTCCCCATGCTGTGACCTGCATCACTCACCAGACGCTGGAATTTCCACCTTTGATCAGCAGAGTTCACGAGGAGGTAATGATATTGTTTGTCCCTCTGCTGGCAGCTTGCCCGCCCGGCTTCTATGGGGAAGCGTGTAACCAAACCTGTCGCTGCGGCAACAACGGCGTCTGCCACCCGGCCAGTGGGCAGTGTGTGTGCACGGCGGGCTGGACCGGACCCAGCTGCACAGAGGGTGAGTTTGAAGAACAGAGCAAAGTGCGACATCATCAGGTAAAGAAGAGGTCAGGAGATGGTTTACCTGTGTGTGTGTTTTGTACTCCCAGAATGCCCTGCAGGGTTCTATGGAGCGGACTGCCGGCAGCGCTGCTTGTGTCAGAACGGAGCCTCTTGTAATAAGACCAGTGGAAAATGCACATGTGCCAGTGGGTGGACGGGTACAGCCTGTGAACTGGGTAAGACTCTGGAAGGCTGTGAGTAAGAGTCTCCGTCTGTGTTACCACAAACCACCTGCACATGGATCCTTTAAAGGAAAAACTTCATTTATTACAACTCAGATTTTTTTATGCTTTTGACCGTTATTCATAGCAAAACTGTTCTCAGATCTGAGAACACCAACATCGCTGCGGCAAAGAACACGAGACGATCAGACATGTGAGAAACAGTTCAAACATTCTGATTCAGAGGTAAACGCAAATCAATCATCACTGAATATTGACTCATGTCAGAGAGCCAACCTACTCTTACTTGTGCTGTTGAGAACAAACGTTTTCAGGACTTATTTCTTAAAGTTGGACCCTGGAAGTCTCTGTATTCTGATATGTTGAACTGTTTCTGCAGATGTATTCATGTGTGTTCTCGCTAGATCTAAACCTAAAGCTCTGCAAGTCAAAACTTAACACCAGGAAGTCAGTGTGAAACCCGATCGATCTCCAGCCTCACTTTCTCTTCCAAATACGTTTTTAAGTTTAAAATCTTCGTGATCATCTGACTACTGGTGTTCCTTTTTTTTTTCACCATTTCCCAGATCTCAGCATTTCATTTCCTGACTGTGAAGTTAAAAACGATAAAAATAAAACCCAACTGGCACAAAAAACAAAATTTCCCTTCGACCACTGCTTCTGTCTCCACTCCACGTGCAGCAGCCTGTGCATGAGTTTCCCCAGTTTTGTCCAGATGAGTTTTTTGTCTCATGATTAAAAAAAACACAAAAAATAACAGGACATAATGTTAAAGAAAGCCATGAAATATTCCTCTGATCTGCCCCCATGTCCAAATCATCGCCAACACTTCCTTGGCTCACGTCCCATCTTCCACCAAGAAAAGTGATTCAGTCGTTTTTGCATATTCCTGCTAAATAAGAGACAAACAGCAATAAAAGCATGACCTCTTCTGGAGAGGATTAGTTTCTGCTTTTTCTTGATGTCTCAACAACCACTGTGTTTTCATTTGTATGTTACTTAGCAGGATTACGCAAAAACTATCCTACAGATGAAACGTAACTTGGTGGAAGGAGGCAGGGTGGGTCAGGAAAGAACTCAGGAAGCAGATCCAGGAATTTATTACATATGATGTTTCACCAGTTTCACAGCAAATCATTTCCGGATCTCGATGATAGAAATCAGGCACATTGAGAGAACTGATCTAGGAGTGCATGAAATGGTGCAGCCTGATTTAATTTAAGGAGACTGTTGGCAGGGGTGTGAAATCTACTGAGAAGCATTGAGGACATATCATTACTGACATGAATCTTTTACTGACCGTAATATCCACAGACACTGATCAGAATCATATTGTGTGTAGACCTCATCGCACTATAATTAAACAGAACAAACTAATCATGAAGGATCTGGGATCCAAAGGCAAATACGTGCATTCACATGTTAAAAAAATGATTATTGATGAATCTAATTCAGGTTTAATCTGGACTAAGACTCACTCTTCTAAACACACATGAAGCCTGGATCAGTGAAATCCATCCTAAACCACCAGCTCTTTTCATATTACACAATCCTACAGACGTTGCTTAGTCTGGACAGAGATGCAGAAGAATAACATCACCTGAGCCCTGAGGTAAATATTTAAACCTGAGGCCTGTGGTTGTTTCACTCTGCTCAGGAAACTCATCCGTCTTATGCTCATTTGCTGCTTTAGCTCATTTGTTTTCTCCTGAAGTTCGGTTATTTGCTGGCACAGTTTTTGCGCCACAGACGAGTCTGGACTGTAAAAGTCTCCATCACTGACCCGGTGATGACATTCCAGCTCGTTCTCCCTCTGAGCTCCACATCACACACTATCCTCCCTCTGTGCCTGTTACAACCTTCCCCTGCCGAGCCGTGCCAGGTCCAGCCCCCTCCTCAGGAAACCACTAATCCTGCTGCTGGAATGTCTTCACCCTCTGAAACCCTGTGGCTACTCCACCTCTCACTGCCAACTCCTCACTCACTCCAAGCATAACTTTAAAAAAACCATGGTCCTCAGCAGAAATGGGACAGAGCCTTGTCACATGTGTTTTCACACCATGATGTCTCTGCTTTGTCTGGTCTCACACGTGTGTGTGTTTCTGCCTGTGCATGCTGCCGAATGTTTACAGAGTGTGCAGTGGGTCGGTTCGGGGCCGACTGCCAGCAGCAGTGTGGATGTGAACACGGCGGCCAGTGTGACCGGCAGACGGGACGGTGCAGCTGCCGCGCCGGCTGGATCGGAGAGCTCTGTGAGAAAGGTGAGCCAGTGAGACTCCAAACTAATGAACCTGCACAAACTGCTGCTCTGTGGAAACTATTTTTTGTTAATCACCACCTCCAATTTGCACCTTCCTCTGCTCAGCATGTGAAGCAGGCCTGTTCGGTGCTGGCTGTCAGGAGAGATGCCGGTGTGTGCACACTGTTTCATGTCACCACGTCACTGGAGAGTGTCAGTGTCCACCGGGCTGGAGAGGAAAACTCTGTGACAAAGGTACAAACCTGCAGCTAGAGACCCTGTGGAACTCCTGCAGCCCCTGGTGGACACAGTCTGTTATTTCAACAATGAAGCTTTTATATTTCAAAATTTAATGGACAGGATAAGAAAGAAACTTTTCATTTCCACCAAGAAGTTTATGTTTTCGTCTAAATTAGCAGGATTACACAAAAACTAGTTATCATGACATTTGATTTAATTTAAATGTAGTTTAACTGTTTTGAGATAGTTTTATGTAAATGTCTGATCAGTGAATTGGACACAGTGACTCATGCAGGATGAAACAGCTGATATTGTTGTATTTTTGTTGCGTGTCAGCGTGTTTGCCAGGTACGTACGGGAGGAGCTGTGTGCAGCAGTGCAGCTGTGCTCAGGGAACATCCTGCCACCACATCTCTGGAGAGTGTGGCTGTCCTCCCGGATTCACCGGCAACGGCTGTGAGCAGAGTGAGTTCTGCACCTCTCACTCTCTCACACCCACTGATGATCATCATCCTTCTCTCACTGACGCTTTGATAAACCACAGTGAGAGTAAGAACATCTCTAACACTGTGTGCTCGTCTGTCAGCTTGTCTTCCAGGAACATTTGGTCAGAACTGTAACCAGGTCTGTCAGTGCTCAGAGACAAACCAGCTCTGCCACCCGGTGTCTGGATCTTGTTACTGCGCCCCAGGGTTCCAAGGTCCCAAATGTGACCAAGGTTTGTAAAAAAAAAAACAGAAAAACATATTCATACATAAACATTAGGGCAAATAAGTAAATGAATGCCATTTAAGTTACATAACTCCTGTGTGTTCTTTATTTTCAGCCTGTGGAGAGGGTCGTTACGGTCCTAACTGTGAGAGACAATGCAAGTGTGTGAACGGAGGGAAGTGCGTTGCTTCCACTGGAGCCTGTAAATGTCCAGCAGGGTTTATAGGAGCACGCTGCAACATCAGTGAGTCCATCACAGCCTCAGAATGTGAATAAATAAAAGAGTTTTACAGTCTAGGTGACACGTCTCTGGTGTGTGTTTGTGTGTGTGTGTGTGTGTGTGTGTGTGTGTGTGTGTCCTGGTGCTGACAGCGTGTCCTGCTGGGCGTTATGGCGTCGACTGTGCTCAGGTGGCCAGGTGTGGAGAGGGGGCCAAGAATGACCCGGTCACCGGTCGGTGTTTGTGCGTCCCTGGACGAAGAGGAGAGGACTGTGGACACAGTGAGTTCTCAGCAGTGTTTGCACACGTCTCTTTTACTAAAACAAATAACTAGATCACTACAAAACTTAGTGGAAGGATGGAACATGGGACAAGAAAGAACACATTCAATTTTAGCGGGGATCCCAAAAAAAGAGGCAGATCCAGGAACTTTTTTTTGTGGCACTTTTTGACATTTTCACTGATTTCCTGGGAATAATTCATGGATCTTGATTTAAAAATCAGGCATATGTAGTGGACAGGATCTATTGGTAGAAATTTGATATAAAATAATCCTAGTGATGTTTTTCTATGATGTGTTTAATCTAAATTGTACTAATTGTTGTTTTCTTTATGAGCCCTTTATATTTAAATACTTCATATCTTCAGAGGCCGCCCTGTTTTCTATAGTATAGACAAACTAAACACAACTGAAGCCACAGGTTCTCTGTCATGTTTGGAAGGGGAGGGTGAGATGAGGGGTATTCAGCTGCAACATGCAACTTCACCACTAGATGTCACTGAATTCTACACACTGAATCTTTAGGTAAATCTATGGCGACAGTTGGGCCTTGGTGGGTGTGAGCTCTGCTGAGTGCTACTCTAGTTTCTGGCTGTTAAGACGCTTGATGTTAAATTCAATTTGAGTGTGTGTGTGTTTGGCCTCAGGCTGCCCTCCAGGCTGGTTCGGGGCGGACTGTGTCCATCGCTGTAACTGCAGTAACGGAGGAGTGTGTGACTCAGTAACCGGCAACTGTACCTGTGGTCTGGGCTGGACCGGTACACACTGCGACAGAGGTGACGACAAACACAATTCATCCTGTGTTTTCTCACAGCTGCTACGTTTACCTGTTGCATCCACAGCATCATAATAAACCTAAAGAGACAAGTCTTGAGTCAGGAATTAGAATTTATTATTCTTTTTACTCATCTGCCTCCCAGAATGTCCCGTGGGCAGATTTGGTGCCAACTGCCAGCTGAAATGTAAGTGTCAAAATAACGGCACGTGTGACAGAGTGACGGGGACGTGTCAGTGTGGTCCAGGCTTCTATGGACATCTGTGTGAACATGGTGAGAACTGAAATACATGAAGTTAAAGTCAAATCCAACAACGAAATGATCCTAGAAATACTTATTCTCTGTGCAGCCTGATGTAGCTCACTCCTCTGTGTCAAGTGCACAAGGTGACAAATAAAAATACAAAGCACACATAAACATACACTGACCTTTCCAGTAGCAAACGTCAGAGAACTAAAAAGTGAAACTCTGGAGTTGATCAAATGAATGAGAACATTTGAATCCATGAAGGTGGACTTTTAAATCTTTCTCCACGCCTCTCTCGTCCTCAGCCTGTCCTCCTGGTCTCCACGGCCCGCTGTGCCAGCTGCAGTGCGACTGTATGAACGCAGCCTCCTGTCACCCTGCGTCAGGACACTGTGTCTGTCCTCCAGGATATTACGGAGCACGCTGCCACAGAGGTCAGTCACATTACTGCTGATACAGTAAAGTAACAGGTTTGTGTCTGCTTTCACTGAAAATCATTTCTATTGTTGGACTGTCCCTCAGTGTGTGAACAGGGAACCTTCGGTCTGGGTTGTGCTAAAGTGTGCGACTGTGAGGACGACTCTCCGTGTGACCCTGCGACAGGAAGATGTCTCTGCTCCTCAGGGAAGACGGGACTCAGATGTGACATCGGTAATCATCAGTCCTTTTTGTTGTAGTTTTAGAACAAATACTGAAGTTAAGATCACGTCGCACAACTCTTCCCTGTATAAACTCTGAGACATCTGAGTTTTATATCAGAAGTCAAATGAAAAATAAGTTTTGAAGCCATTTTTTAAGATCAGGCAAACTGGATTACAGCATATGTTCTGAAGAAAAAAACTAAACAGTTACAACAAGGAAGTTATGTCACCAAAACATTGCCTTTTAAATTCCTCAATCAAAGACGAAAGTTACCGAATTAATTTAGATTTAATAAGAATAAGTTGAAATAAATGAGGGTGACAGTTCAGATTGTTCTGCTTTGTGTTGAGACCTTGAGATTCTGACTTTTAGAGTGAGCACTGCTCAAGATGATTCTGAAAATTTATGTTTTGTAAATATTTACACATCTTTTATTTTTATTTGGTATTTAGTGTACATGGGGACCTATTAGCAGCGATGGAGAGTGAATTTAATGACTGTAGAGTAGTAAAAGTAATATCACAGCAATATTGAAATATTCCATTAGTTAGTTAAGTAAAAAGAACTAAAGCAGTTTAATATAATAGTCTCTGAGTACAAACCGAAGTTGTTACATTATACTGAAGTGTTTTTATTTGGACCTCATTAATGTAAGTTATATAAATTTAAACAACAGAAACACATCTGTGTGTTACACTCCAGTATTACTAGCTGTACCTAATTAACTGACAACTGAGAGTCATAGTTATTATAGTTATATATTTTGTGTTCTTGTGTCAGACTGCAGAGCAAACCTCTACGGCCCAGACTGTGCTGAGACCTGCGAGTGTCAGAACGGAGCACGATGCGACCGACGCAACGGCCGCTGCAGCTGCGTGCACAGCTGGATCGGCCTCTCCTGTCAGGAAGGTAAAGAACTGAGTGAACACACTGTCACTGCTGTCTGAAGAGTCATCTCACTTCCGTGTAACATCCACAGGGGACATCAGGTGACAGGCTCTGCTGACTCTCGCAGTCAGAGCAGAGGTGGCAGTTTTTCGCTGACTCTGTGAAATGAGAGTAAATAACTAGTATTAGTGCTGACAGCATCTGGTCACCGTGTTCGTTCTGCCGAGGCTGCACTTCCTCTGTGGTGTCGTCTTTTTTTCAGATGGAATATGAAAGTTGTGCATTTAGAAGTGGACTCAGCTCACAGTGTGTGTGTGTGTGTGTCTCTGCAGGTGGACCTCCACGTGTCACCTATGGGAGCAGCAGCAGAGGAGACTCACAACAAAACTCATTATAGCATCTACCTGAAAGACTGAAACTGAGAAAGTGATTTTTTTTTTTTTTTTTTACTGGAGTGAGTGAACGCTCGTGAAAGGAGTCGTAGCAGCTGGAGGATCTTCATGGAAATAGACTCTCTGATGAGAACTGCAGTTCCACGTTTGGACCCGAGCTACTTCATTTTTTGTATTTTGGTACCAAAGTGACCTTTGAACTGATCGACTCTGTGGCGTGAGCCTGACCTGTCTCCAGTGATCTTCTTGAACTCAAAGTGGAACGTCACCGTAAAATGAAAACACTTTCAGTCTTCAGGAGGAGAACTACTTCCAAACTAGAAATACTACTCCCAAACTAGTACCACCCTGTGATTGTATGCCTCCGCCAACCAGTGTAGTTTCAGTCTAAATACTTTTTTTCCAGATTCATATGAGGTTCATCTTTGTGTCCAAGTTCATCTTTGTGTCCAAGTGACAACTGGTCAAAATGTTTTGAAGAAAGCCCCAAAAATCAGATCAGAGAAATCATGTTCAAGAGGCCAAAAAATGGTTTTGTGAGGCCACAGAGACTTTGACCATTAAATTCTTATCAGTTCATCGATGAGTCTAAATGAACAATTTAATCCATTGGAAAAAACTTCCCCAAGGGGTTCCTCAGATATGTTAACAAGGCAAAAAGGTCACAGTGACCTTGACATTTGATCACCAAAATCTAATCAGTTCATCTTTGAGTCAAACTGAATGTTTGTTCAAAAAAGGAAGAAATGATCTTGAGGTATTCTTGAGATATGTTAACAAGAATGGGCAGACGAAAAAGAAAAAGCAATACCTCCTTCCACTGGCTGTCATGGGTGCAGAGGCATAAAAACATCATCCTCAGAGTGCAGCAGTTTGTTTTTACTGCACTTTTGATATTTTTATTTTACCTTTGTCCATTAACTACCTTCACTGGGTACTTGTATATAAAATAATCTCTTAATTTTGTAAGAAAATGGGCGACATTGCTGGATATGATGCAACCATCTTATAAAACCTGCCAGTTTAATGAAGTAACTAATTGCTTTATCTCCAGATGTTTAATAAAAAAATATCAGTCAAGCACATTCCTGGATTTTAAATAGAAATCACTTTATTTACACAGCTCGCTCTCAATGTTGAAATAATTTCATTTGAATTGATTTTGTGTATAAGTTGCTTCATATTTATATTTAACAGTTGAATATTCGTCAAACTTAAATCACATTTTTTTGTTTTCCACTGTTTAATTGAGATTCTGCATCTCTGACAAACACAGTCCAGTGAACAACCCACAATCAGGTTTATTCTTTTTAACACACGAATGCCAAATAAAGACAGACACATGACGGTTTGTTTCTCATTCTTATTTTATCATTATTTCATTTTCATTGAAGATTGAAGCTGTACATCCTGTCTAAATTTCAGATTCAAGCACAGTGCAGATAGCAACGCCTGCAAAACAAAATAAAAAATAAAAGAGAAAAAGGCAAAGGTGATCACAACCAGAAATATATATATACAAAGGTCAAACTATGTACAGGAGATACCAGTCGCTCACTACGTCGTCTTCAGAGCATTTCTCATAATGCATACACAACACAAAGAAATTGCTTCTTTTTGTCAGTCCTAAAATCGATACAATACAGATAGGAAAAATGCAGCATGATGAAAACAAAAATAAAAACTGTTCTTTAAGTTTGTCTCTACTGCATTAAAGGCAAAAACATAAAAAATATATTCTCTGTATAACCTTTGACCTTCTGTAAAATAAGCTCTATCCAGCTGTGGCTTCATTTCTGAACTAGTCTTCAACAATGTTAAACTAGGGCCACTTAAAGCATGACGTCCTCTGAACACACTCCAAACATTAGCAGTTATCTCGGGATCTTTGCTGGGCAGGTCAGCACAGCGTGAAATAACACTGATGGTCAAACTAATGCACAGCAATTTTATTTAAAGGGGAAGTTCCACAGTTTGGGAAGTTTGCTTATAGGTCGTCTTATCCAGAAGATTGATAACATCATTTTCTGCCAATAAGAACCATAGCTAACAGCTAACAGATAATAACGATAATAACAAATAAAGCTGGCTGTTTCTGTCCAAAGGCAACACAATCAGCCGAATGTCGAGGGAAGGATGTGAGGCAGCGAAGAACCCAAGGAATTTTGGTGCAGACACATTGTGAGATTTTTCAACATTTTCATTGTTTTCCCAGAGAATTATTCATTGATCTTGATTAAATAAATCAGGCAAATTTTGGGAACTAATTTCTATGAATGTGTGAAATTTAGTGTGGTTTGATTGATTGTTGGGCCGTGGCGGAGATTCATCCTAGTTGAAAACAGTCTCTTCTAAAATTCTAATTCACCTGATATTGAAACTGAAATAAATGATTCCCATAATCTAATGTATCAAAGTTCCACCTTAAATTTTCTTCTGAAATGTGTCCATCTTAAAAAGCAAAAAAAAGCATGTTTATTATTTACCAATTAAAAAATAAACTATCATTTCATAATGATCAAAGAATAGTACAATAGGCCAAACGGTGGTGTTCACTAGATCAATTCCCTGTAAATAATGTTTTCAGCTCATGAATTGTAAAAAATGATTCTTTCCTACATGACACATTAGGTGCTTGTAATAAAAACTTTTTCCCAGGCCTGGTATCACAGAGGTTGGAATTGGATTGAAACAGACTTTTGTTTATTGCTCACCTGTAATACAGGCTAGCACGCGGGTAGTTCAACTTGTGGTCATAGCAGTGAGCCCATCACAAGGTGACCTTCACACTGCAGACTGTAGCGGTTCATCAGTCAACTGCTCAAAACCTGGAAGATTGTCGGCTGTGGACGGAACCATTTCCTTAGCTTTATATTTTTGCTGTAGCTTCATGTCTATTGGGCAGACAAGACAGTAGTTTCAATCTTCTTCTGTAGCAAATAAGCATTTTTCCCGAATTATGGAACGTCGCCTTAAAGTCTCTATCTTCCTCTCGACTCCCTGCAGATGATAATATTAAGACACAGGAATTTCACAGACTAATGAACTAAATGTTCTTTGCTTTTGTTTTTTGTTTTTTTCCTCTTCAGAGAAAACAGCATCGGCTCACGCCAGTTAAACAAACTCAGACATACGAGACACGTCAAACGTATACAGGGATCAACTAATACAACAGGCTGTAGCAAGGGATTCGTTTAATTGTCCCCCTCCCCCTACCTGACACACGCACGCACACGATCAACAGTAGAGACATGAAGTCACTTTGCTCTTGTTAAAAACCAGAGGCTGTAAATCATCACCCACACTTATTATTTATTCCCTCCACTTAAACTGAGAAGCATCTTCATCTCACTCATATCATTCGTACTGATGAGTTTTCTTTATCTGTATTTTTCTTCTAAGGATCAATAGTTTCAGCTGTTAGTAAAGATCTGTTATCGACACGTGTTAGTAAGGGGCGGAGCTTCACCTTGCTTCTCCCGTAGGTTATTGTCGACGAGGTGAAGAGAGTCCATGCTTCGAGGATGTGTCACATGCTATCCACTTGTGCTTTAATCACAGTAAGAGAGCACCCAGAGGAGAAAGAATGATACAGGGTGGCATCAAATTCTGTAGTAATACTTCTAACACGTCTCAAGTCGTACGTCGCTTGAAACATACCTTACTATCCTAAAGCTTTTAGCGGTACTATGCATTCTGTATATGAAGGACCTTTGTTAACTAGCAACAGCATGGTCAAGTAAAGATATACATGGAGTTAAGTCCATACCATAGATAGATAACAAACTGGACAGCACATGCGTCAAGGTGAGTTCTATAATCTTTCAGGAAGCGAGAGTGAAACACTCAGGTGTGTCGTAAAGAGAAAAGAAGAAGATCTTTGGCTGAAGCCACGCTCAAATGTCACTGGTCCTGCCCAGTGTCGACAAACGAAAGAAAGACAGACGAGTAAATACAACCTTCGGACCATGTGCATGGCAACGCACGATTACAACCACCTGCTCTGTTCCTGGAGCTGCTGCCACTGGCTGATTAACTGGAAACACGACCACGCCCTGGAAAACCAACGCCACTTCTACAAGTTAGCGTTGCCCTAAATACTGGGGACATGAGACCAGTCGTCCAAACGGGACAGCTGTCAAGCTGCTCGTCTACACTGAAGCCCACAGCACAGTCTGATGCAACTGTAAAATAAGGCAAAAATACTTGAACAGAATTTGATCAAGGAGAAGTTTCCACGTGATGTGGAGCCAGCGCTGATATGATCACTTCCTGTACAGTAAATCCTCAGCCTGAACAAAGCAGAGCAGAGGTTGGGTAACACAGTGAAGCAGGACACTGCATTTGATTTATGATGACTGCAGTTCCTACTGTTCGGGGTGAATAAATAGCTAATCTCTTCAGTGGCAGTCGCCCGCACACAGCAGCCTCGCTCCTGACTCCTTATCATGAACAGTTCACTGGTCAGGACGGAGGAGGAGCCTCTCGGGCAGAGTGCAGTTGTTAACCCCTCGTCCTCCCAGTCGCCCCTGTCGAACGCAGGACTCCATCACCGCTCCTCGACAGCAGGAGTGTCAGAGCATCAGGCTGGACAGATGCACTGCCAGTGAAGACACAGAGGGAGGTTGAGGAGAGGGAATTATCAGGAGGTGATGCAAAATCTAATAGTGCAGTGGTTGTGTGATAAAAATACTGTACCCATCCTCTCCCCTCCTGTAACTCCCCTCCAGCACCTATACTGACAATACTAAAGTGCTGATTGTTAAAGCCCACAGAAAGGCTCCAATACTGATCATGTGGACAACAACACACACACAGCTCTTCTTTCAGAGAAACCTTGATGGACACGGTTTGTAAATAGAACGTCCAGGGAAAAAATGGTACATGTGCAACAGAGTAGTTCTTGTATATCCATACAGTAGGAACTTCAACTTCTGTTTAGTTGCATTCATCTTTGGAAAAACAAACAAAAAAGAATTCTGGCTGCCAAGCAAGCGTGTGCTTATTTTTTTTTAAAAAGTAATTTTTCTCTATGGTTTTAAAATACGTTCAGCTGAATTGAATGTATAACTGATTTAGGTATGAGCGCATATCCCGAATATCTCTCATCCACTTGTCTTTCTATGTGAATCCCTTCATTTCCTGTGGAGGTGACTGTATTTTTTCCCCCTTTTTCTTATCTTATCCCTGTAACTCTAAATGAGGTGCCCTGCGTGGCCTTGGTGTGGCCAGACTCATGCGCCAGGGTCTCACTTAGTAAAAGCTCAAGCAAACAGAGGATCAGGCAAAGGTGGGGCGCTGCTGCAGCCCGGGTGCAGCCCTGCCGGGCGGGGCTGTGCTTCGTGTTAAGAGCGATAGTCCTTTTTACTGTACGGCTTGTTCCCCAGGATGCTGTCCACCTCATGTGTGATGGAGGATGACAACTTTGGAAGAACCTGTGTCGGGGGAGAGAGACAAACATGAACATGTTCTGCGTTTCCTGTCAGAGCGTTTGGTTTTCAGGAACGTTCAGACCTCGTATTAACATCCGCCCTGAATCTCAAATACATTATTAAAGCAGGTATTCATATAACATATATATAAATCTGTAGCTTATTTAATCAATGTAACAATGTCCAAACTGTAAAGAAGTTAGAAACACAAGTAGAGGTATTATCGTCATATGTACTTTAATTATTGCAGTGACGTCAGTACTCAGTGAGACACGTCTCCTGTCAGTGTTATATTTTTATATAGTTTACTAATGATGAATTAAATTGCATTACAGTTTTTAATGTTGCCAGGAAGGAGTTATTTTTTATAATCAGTTCTATCTTGATTCATTTATTATTGTATTACATTGTTATTCCAATTGTAAATTCATATTGATTCTGAATTATTATTTTCGGCCCAGAGGTTTGTAAATACATGTCAAGATAACAAATGAAACTAAATATCAAATGAATCATGTAAATTCATGTGCTTTGTTACAATTATGACATTATTTTTTCATTCAAGAGTTCTTGAAGCAGACAAACAGGCTATTTTACTATGATGTAATTAAATTTATTATTCCCAAGTTGAAAATATAAAAGCTCATTTATTTTCAAATTTTCTCTTTCGTACAGACATGAAACAAATACTGCACTAAATGTCCCCTGAAAAAGGACATATTATGTGGACTTTCTTTTCAGATGAAGGGCTGTTTCTATTTCAGGGTCTGTGATGAAAAATTCTCAGTAAAAGGAAAAAGTACAAAGGCCTGGGGAAATGTGAGGATAGCATTCCAAAATGGAAATATCAAATGTGCTGAGGGAGAGAGAGACATATAGTGCGCACACATCTTGTGTGCTAATGCGTCCACACAGACACACAAAGCATCAGAATAGAGTGTAGTGATGTTCTCTACTTCAGGGCAGACATAATGTGAGCCGAGGAGGTAAACCCCCACCAGTCTGAACACCCCATTAACACAGTGCATCTTATCAGGAGAGGAAGAAGTGGCCTTAAGCTTGCCTCCAATCTCCTGGCAACTGATACTCCGCTGACCTTATTAACTCGGTACAGTAAAGCACCCAAGTGTGCAGCGGCAAACTGCCCCAGAGGCTCAGCTGTACCTAGGAGAGGAGGAGGCTGCTGTTCCAGGCTGTAAGGCACAAATACGGACCTGATGAAACAGGTCAGGTCACATTTTCACTAAAAAAGCCGCTGATTTGCTCTTTGGAAGCTCTCACAAACATACACACACACACTCATAGCCTCACCTGTATCGCTCCTATGTTCTCCATCAGCTGGTCGGTGCTGGACGCCCCTAGAAGGACTGAGCTCACTCCCTCGTTCCGTAGGCACCACGCTGCAGGAAACCAGTAAACAGCAATGACACCCCCACCATGGCTACGGACACACTATCACAACATCCCTGATTCAAACACACCGCACAACATCTGCACACATCACAAACACAGAGCAGATTGATTTCTTTTATCAAGCTAAGTGACATTTCCTACAAAGTCCTGATATAACATGAAAGGCTACTGCAACACTTCTGCACAAAATGATCTCTTGCCACAAACCTGAATACTAAAGTCCTCCCACTGTAGAAGAAACATTCACGTCTTTTACTTCGGTACAAATACCACATAATAAATACTCAACAAGTAAAGCTACAAAAATATTCTCAGGAAAATGTACTTAAAATATCATAAGTAAAATGATTCGTTAAGTATTATATTGACTAAGGCTGCAACTAACAATTATCAATATTGAGTGATGGAATATTATTATTTTGTCTATAAAATGTCATAACTGTTCAGTCCAGTTTTCCAAAGGCCAAGGAATCGTCTGAAAATGATTTGTTTTGTCCAAACAGAAGAAATATATTTTAAAGATGACTAAACTATCAGAGCAGAACTCATCAATTTCCTGTGACTCAACTAATCAATTTTTAATTAATAGTAGGAGTAGTAGAGCTGAAAGAGGTTATAGTTTTAATAAAGATATTTATAATCGACATATAAGCAGTATTTTATCATTGTGGTTCTTAATTTTAATTACTTTACATGCGGTTGGGTTTGTATGATCCAACTGACCATATTTCATCAAGTGATCAAACGTTTTGTGTGTTAAATATTAATGATATAACTCGCTGTAAAATAAAAAGTACATTCTTTCCCTTGCAAATGTAGATAAGTAAAAAGAAAAGGAAAACTTTCCGCATTTAAAAAACTGAGTTAGACGTCAAGACTGAACTCAGCAAATAGAATTTGGCATTTATTTTGATGATTTCTTTGAGGAAACACAAAACATCCAAACCCTAGTTCTGTTTGGTTTTCTATCATAATGTTAAGACGTATTATGCAACAACTGCATTATTTTGCTATTAAAGATACTACAGATTAAACAGATTATGGTAGGGATGGCATTTTATGCTGTAAAAACAGTGAGATTACAACTCTGCGCAAATCCACCATCATCAAAATGAAAATGAATGTGTTTTATTAGATTGACAGAAGAGCAGAGCTTCTCTCAGGACAGAGAGATACTCAGTTCACAACCACAGACTGATTCCTGAACGTACCACTACACAACAGCAGGAGAGATTCAGTCATTATATTATACTTTTCAAAACCTCCAACAAGAAAGTTTTTATCTGTTTCTGTTTATTTGTAAAGTACTGAACTGATTTGAACTGAACATGCAGAAATGTGTTTATCGTCGTTTCCTTTTGTCAATTTCTTATGGATGTTGATGTAATATTGATATGGTCGGTACAATTTATTGCAGATGATCTTTTGTCCTTTTATTTTTCCATTTTTTAAGAGGTAGTCAGATGTGCAAGATTTGTTGGCCTTGGCAGAGGCTGGTTAAATACTGTAATGCCACGATATAGTGCGGAGGACAACATGGCGGATATAAATCTCTTGTGTTGCCTTCAGGAGCGCCAGAAGGATTTATGGTAATTGGGAGAGATGAGGGTGTCCACTAATGGGCCGTGAAACCTAATCTATGACACTGCATTACTGCGAGGGGAGAGAATCTGCTGTGATCTGTGCTGATAGAAGGCGAAGTCCCAGATTTACTTGCCGCCTCCCTCAAGCCTGACGCTTTAACAGCTCTCACAGGAGTGTGCGTCTTCAGGGGTTTGCACATTCTCACACTCCTGACCGGCAGGGAATCAATATCGGTCACTCGCTGGATTTATGTCCAGGACGCTATTTTTATGCTGACACCAGAAATTGTTAAATACATATTTACACCAGGGGAAACCAAAGACCTGCATATCCAAACACATACTGTTAACATATTTACATAACAGACATTGATGTTTACTGGTCTTAATGTGTTCTACGGACTATCCTCGAGGACACACTGTATTCTATTAATGTCCATCCTTTTCTGATTGGTTTCTAAGAGGCAATGAGTCCCTTTAATATACACCATTTCTCTTTTATTTTCTTAATTTCAGTTTTTTGTTTTCTTGTTTCCTTTTCGCGTAAATTATTTAAAATTAAAAACTACACAGACACACACAGGACAACACAACACACCCACAGTCAAACCAGGCAACCCCGGTCTGTCGAGGCAGAGGGACGGACAGACAGACAGAAAGAGAGAGAGCGGCAGAGTGTATCTGCGTACCGATGGCGAGTTGGGGCAGAGTGCAGCCCAGCCGCTCCGCGATTGCCTGCAGCTCTTTCAACTTCGCCTGCTGACGCCGGCCCTCCTCGCTCAAGATCTTGTCCTTCAACCACTGGTAGCCCTGTTTGAAAACACAGCACACCTGCTCAAAAACACAGCCCTGCTCACACGGCCGCACCGCAGCTCCTGTGTCACCAGGGCCTGTTTTTAAACATGTGACTCTGTCTCCTGCTGCCTACGCCTGCATATCCCCAGCTACGCTCAATGAAACACTGAATGTTCAGTTCATTATAATTACAAAGTTACAAACAAGAACAATTCTGTATTAACAGATATCATTATATGATAATGTCAGAAAAACATGGGATCAAGGGTCAGAAATTAGACTGTACCATAATGCACTTAATGACACATCAGAACCATTAAGAGCCAAAACACCACAAACATCCACAGGCAACAGTGAACCAACAGGAAACAGCTCATTCCACACAAGTCGCCAAAGATACTGCACAACACCAAACACTGAAGAGCCAGTTTCATGAACCAGGAGAGGTCTCATCGACAGTCACTGACAAACAATCCACACGTACAGAACATGCTCCACCCCCACAGGAACACATCACTGCAGTAAGTCAGGTGTTAGCTCCTGTGTCTCATAGAGTTGAGTTATTTTTACGATCTTAGTCAATGAGAAACTACTTTACAGAGAAATATGATTCTGAGTGAATTAAATCACGAATAGTGCTTCTCTTCTTCATTATATTAGGTGAATGTGGATGTTTCTTTATACCAGGTCACATTTGATCGTCTGTGGTAATATGCTGATCTGTCTTATGGTTCATCGAGCAATTTAATTTCGTTTCAGCGTAGTGCTGGCAGTGTCAATTTAGACAAACATTCCTCATTGTGCACACGTGCTGTACTATTTCTGTTCTGTGTGAACGCATTGTTGCGTGCATGTTTTGTGTGTGTGCATATGTGCGTTAAGCTGACACCAGCTGGCAAACAGTGCTGCTTGTGAAGAGGTGCACAGTGCATGGTTTCAACATGGCACTGACAACACACAGATACGTGGTGTACACAGAGTTACAGAACCTGAAAGACACAAACACAATGTAAACAAACACACAACCAACCAGCAAATCAGTGGGGGAAACCACAACAGTGACACAAGCACAGATGATCAAAGTGAGAAAAAAACGTGAAAAATAGCCAGTGAGGTTTGTCTACCTTCAGAGAGGCCCGAGAGTAGGGAGGCACCCTGCCGTCGTATTTCCCTGAGATGATCCCACAGGCCAGTGGTGACCATGTCATTGCCCCCACACCTGAGAGAACAAACATGTCATCATCAAAATCACTTAAATAAAACAACCATTTACTTTCTCAAAGGAGAGAAAAGATATTCGAAAGACTTAATTTCTACTGTACGTGTTTAACTCCACTTTGTCTGACTACTCCTCTCTAACTGGCTTTTTAATTGGACCTGTTTTTTTTAACCTGGTAGATAAGCTAGAGCAGCTGCCTGAAGAGGATCTGCAATATCAGAAAGGACTCGTCAATCATTTGTGTGACAATTTATATAAGACTTGAACCAGATCATGTGCTGTAGTTGTAGATGGTCAGTGTCAGAGAGCCACTGAGAAACCACAGCTAAAATTAAGTTAAATGAGAACACAAACTGTAAGGAAAAGAGATACGAGTCCTGTATAATCAATGATCTTCCAAGGTCTGTCAGTGTTTCTTGCACAGAATTTGTGTCCACTATTTGGCTGTCACTTAGTTTCTCTGTTACCAATGGATTTGAAAGAAGTCTCATGGTCGAAGACCTTTGTTTAATAGCTACAATTCCAAATCCAAGCCAGCTCACCTATCTTATGGAAGAGCTCAGGTAGCTGCACCTCCACCTTCTCTCTCTGAAACATGTGGTACTCAGCCTGCTCACAGATGGGAGGAATCTGGTTGAACTGTCGCGCCACAGAGTATGCTTCCTACAGGAAAACATGGAAGAAGAAACAAGGTCAGGACAGTAATGTATATATTGGACAGTGCCTAAATCCCCACTGTACATAGTTCAGCATTAAACACAAACAGGTAAGAATTACTAGGCAATCTATGTGATAGAACGAGAAGAAAAAGATATTTTCTAAAACAAACTTTATAATGCAACATTCGGTGTGGCTGCAGTGTTTGTGGTTTATCAGCAAGTGACAGGTGTGTTTACAGTGTGTGTGTGTGTGTGTGTGTGTGTGTGTGTGTGTGTGTGTGTGTGCTTTGACAGTAGTCACAGTGTCATGTGTACATCACTGCAGTTTTTTTTGTCCTGTGTGGAAAAAAAAGGGTCTCACCATTATTTCCATTGGACTCCAGCGGGATGTTCCCCAGTACATGGCCATGCCTTGATTTATCACATGGGTCATTGCTCGAACTGTTTCTGCAAATAAAAAATCAAATCGAATGTTACCCTGTTATGTTTATAGAACAGTATTATGACAACATTTTTATATAACAATATAATGAGAGCCTGTTCTGTATTCTCATAAAATATGTTGTGATCATTTGCAATCTAAATGGGCTGGACAAATGAGCAGAGAGGAAGAAAAGCTGATTAGGTGAATCGACATGAGTGATTCATTCTGAGGAGAGTGACATCTATTCACAACATCAATGAGAAAATCTACAAGAATCCTTATTATTTATAATCTGACACATGCTAAAAAAGAGGCCAGTAAAATAAACTGATTACAGACAGATTAGATAGGAATCTCATTTTACATTTTATATCTGACCCTGTGTGACTGTAATTTCCACCTTTCTTTGTGACAATAGGTTTCGCTCGACCGCTGCCTTAACTGTCAAACATGTCAGATTACGATCAGGGTATCCCAGGTAACATCACGAGCACAGGAGAGCAATAAAATGGGTTTCCATCTGATAATTTCTCTCCTATGATTTCTCTAAATTTTCCATCCACACAACTCGACCCTTGCTGGTGTGCAGTTCATGAAAACTCAGACTAAACAAACCTTTCTATCATCCAGTGGGAGCTTGGCTTGAGAGGTTTTTTCTGTCAACAGCACTTCACCTCCTTTTCACCCTGTACACTGCCCTTTAGCTATTGTCAGAATAAAGTAAACCAGATGGTTTTACCACTTAGTATTTGAAGACATGGGAAGAATATTTAAAAAGACAACTGGCCAAAAGAATCTCTTGACTTTAACATGAAACAACACCTGCTACTTCTGACTAACAAGACACTGAAATATATTGTGCAACAGCCAGAGTCGATAAGGCATCAAACTGAAGGCAGGAAGATGACCTGTGACCTAACTCTAACCCAGGGAGGAACTCCGACACTGGAACAGATGGATACCGTGTGACCAGCTGAGCCCACACACAGTGAGCACTCTGCCATTTAAAGGTCTCCAGCCTCAGTATCTATCCTAATTCTAACTGTGGAGGTGGGAGCGCCAGGACAACACACACAGCGTTTAAAAATAGATATTTTAGTTACACATTGCAGTAGTCATAGAGACAGAAGAGGTGCGTTTATTATGTGTGATATGACAAAACAGAGAGAAGACATGGTTAAGAGTGTGTGAGAGGATAGGAAAGGACAGATGGTAACTCAGAAGTGATGAATGAAAGTAGAGGGCGAACATTCATTTACCTTCCATGGGTGTATTAGGGTCCGGTCTATTTGCAAACACCACGTCCACATAGTCTAATTGCAGTCTTTCTAGAGAAGCTTTTAAACCTGGAAATGAGCACCACTGTTAGTAAGTAGCAGTTGACAGTATATACTGTCAAAAACTTTGTGTGTAGGGTCCTCAAACTATTTATTTTCACAGGGTTATTGTACAAAAATGTTTTCATCACCACTCAAATGAACCTAAGAGCATTTTGTTGATGCAGTATTGATATGTACCTTCTATAATGTGTTTTCGGGATAAACCTCTTTCAGTCTCAGCTCTGGAAAAAACAAAAGACAATAGATCTTGGTTTTGAAACAGTAATTTGAAATGCTAAACTACTTGCCTCTCCAGAATAATACATATCACATATCCTTTGTGATATATGATCTAATAAATGTTTCAGGCTTATTGAAAGTACCTGACAACAGATAAGTTTGGATGACACATGATCTCATTACCAGGAACATCAAACAGGCCGAGCCAAATTATTACAGAGAGAGAATTTCTCATTTGGAAGCAACCAGACGAAACCTACTTTCCACCCCAGAAGATCTTTGTTGTTATCACCAGACTTGAACGTCTAAAAATGAAAAATGAAAGCAAATCTGTGACATCAACAGCTGAACATGGACAGTTACAGCAAAAAAGCAGAAAATGTGTCTCGACTTTACACAAACCATATGTTTCGAATGTATTAACAGGATGAAGAGCTCAGATACGGTGTAACCATGTGATTCTACCTTATTCCCTCAGTGTCACACTCACCCCACATTTCACAATAAGTGTGATTATGCCAGAACTTGGCCAGCACCAAAGAATGAGTCTTGTAGGCTTATATAGGCTGACAAAGCTATACAAATGCCAATTCAAGACAGATAAAGTATAAGACAAGGCTCTAGAGGTTGAATAATTATTCAGTGGGACACAGGAGTGAGTGTGGATATGGCACAGTGGCCCTCATTAATCTTTTATCTCCCTATCTTACCTTTCCAGCTCACAACACACTGCCTCCCAATATGTGCAAGGAAGGAGATGATACAAGATTAGGGAGGCTGCCTGGGACGGATATTAGAAAACACCAAACTCAATTAAAGTGTGCCTCATACCTCCATCCTTTTTTCTTTATGATGTTTCCGAGCACCACCTCTGCCCTGTGAAGTAGACGGAGAGAAGGTATGATTGAATAAAGATAGTCTTGAAATGATGAAAGCGTTGACACCCCAATATCACAAGGGGAGGATTTCAAGCCCCAAGTCAAAAAAGAAAAACTCTGACAACTCTGTATGATATATATAACGGAGCGTTCGATGGAAAGCCCACCTGCTTAGGACTGGAGGGTGTGAGCTAGCTGCCAGGTCAGAGTCAGCAGGGCCTGGGTCCAGCTGTTCTGTGGAGCCACCACTATGTCACTCATTAACAGCCGCAGGGGTGCTAATGAGTGACATTACTTCCAACAAGGGGCTCATTAAGGCCGGACAACCTGTCCTCTCAGCCTGACAAATAATGAGACACCTGCCTGTAGCATAGCTCCCAACAAAATGCACTTGGGCAATGCTGAAAACTACAACACAGCAACTACAAAGATTTCTTTTGTTTTCTCTAAAAACTACACGAATCATTATTTATGTCATGGTGCATAACGTTTTACCAACACACACAAACACACACACTAGGCCTACATGTTATCAGCTTTTATCAGTGCAAAAGGGCACAAACTGCAAATAGGGAAATCTCAGTAACATATCTTAAATCAAATGCTAGATATGCTTGTCTTTTCCCTGACATTTTTGCAGGTTTAATGTTAGCTAACTACTTAGTCCTAATGAGGATTTATCTCATCTTTCATCCTGCCTACATATTAAGAACAACTCTCTGGAACACTGCAGCAAATCAAACTTTGCCAATGGAAGAAATTTGGTGCATAAACAGTGTATTTAAATATGCGACAATTTTGGACAACAAATACAAGTCTGTATTTGTTGTCCAAAATTGTTGACTGGTGTGCAAAGACCATAAATCTTCCGTTTGGAAATTGACCCAAACCGGGTTGATTCATATATAAGCTTTTTTTGACCTAGTCTTGCTAAACCAGGGTCTTATTTACATAACCGCGGCCATTCTGGCTGGATTATTGTAGTAGCGGATTACAATGCATTTAACTAAAATCCAGGTAATCCAGAGGTCTAATTTCCTTCTTCTCTGTACTCCTGTACGTGTGCCAGTTTTAGTCTGCTGATCCAACAAGCAGCATGAGTGGAGTATTTGCTGCAATACAACTGTACAATCTGTTTCAAGCTCTGCCAGCTGGACACACACCTTTTTTAAACAACCAGCAATAAGCACTCTCCTGAGAGCAATAAAGCGTGTTTGAGTGCATAATAAGGTGTGTATGTGTGTATTACTGGAGAATACCCACACAATGGTTTGTATGTCGCCCTTCGGAAATGTGAGTAATTTGAGAGCCCAAACATAAGGTACAGTGCGCCTCGAGCAGGTTAACTGTCTTCATTCATAATTAGGTCTTTATTCCAGTGGTGACTTACAGCACAAGCAATGACATAATGCTGCATTATTCATGGGTTTATAATATTTTATGACTTTCACATTTCTGTGTAATTATACTACCAATATGCCACCGGGCTCACTCAGTGTCATGCAATTACTATGCATCTAGAGCAAAAGGTTTAAGCCTGAAAGAAAATAAAGTTGAAGTATCTATTCTTCCAATTACTCGCATATTTTTAAATGCTTTGAAGCAATGAGTCTGCTGATAACAGTGGCTACACGGGATAGGCAGAACATTTTTATTTTGCGTATAAACATTTATATTTCTGAAAAATTGTAGGCTACAAAATGGGATGATACGCTGGTTAGGCATCCAATTAATAATTTAATAATTATTTGTTGAATGCTTGTTTTGTTTCTGTATTTTGTAGAGCTAAACCAGAACATACATGACAAACAGCCAGAAACTGTCAAATGCTGTGTATGAGCAGAGCAATGTGAGCACAGTTTACAAGCCCTTCTTATCTGTCCATTTTCTTTTTTAACACAACAAGTTATTAGTATGGATGTAGCCTGTTTGTGCAGCCTCCAACACCAACATACATTCTCTGAGTCTGACTGAGCCAAGAACTTCACATGAAAGCTTTCTCCACTCTGATGTGCAAAGTGTGTGATTTGTTCTACTCCTGCATGTGTGTGTGTGTGTGTGTGTGTGTGTGTGTGTGTGTGTGTGTGTGTGTGTGTGTGTGTTTGCAATATAAGCTCCTCAGCGCTGCTTTGTGCTGGAAGCTGTTGGGATTAACACCTGTGCAACACATACTGAGCTGTGTTACATGCTGTCACAAACATCTGCACGTGTCAAACAGATTTGTGCTTTCTGTCGAGTTGTGCTTTGTATTATGGAAGCACAATTATTAAAGTTAGCATCAACTTTGTTCCTGTTTTTTCTGGACTCATCGTTTAACAACAAGGCAAACTGATTATTGAATTACCTCCAGAACAGTGGAGGATGGACTGATGACAGTGAAGGATTTAATGAGAAATCAAGAGGAATATAATTGACAACGATTGAATCCTTTCTGGTCTTTTTGTTTTCTTTTGATTTTCACAGTAGCAGTCTGACACATCACCCGAAACATAATGTCAAAACTAGAATATTCTTGGGGAGGATTAAAAAAAAGGGAATTGGTGCTGTTAATCAGAGATAGTGTTCGCAAAGGATAATCCCTTAGATTATTTCAAAGCACCCAAGTTACTACAAAGCCAGATTAATCCACACTGGAATTTAAACCTTCACTACATTCAGCAATAGGGCAACACGGGGCTGCTTTCTGAGGGTAAAAATATCATCACAAGCTGTCCAGTAAATTTAGATTGAGACCGTGAATATCTGAACCCTCGTGAATGTTACTGCAACAATGACAAGGACGAGGACCTGATAAAAAAAGACTTTCAGGTCTAATTTCAAGGAGAGAGACAATCGTGTCAATTAATAGTCAACTTGAAATACTTTACATGAACAATTCAATTTGCTGACAGAGAGAAGTTATATTTCCATCTAAATGTAGAGCAAAGATAACCGTTATGACAGAAAACATGAGAGAAACACGGCATTTGCTTCATATGTTAATTTGAGGAAGGTTCCAGTTTACTTATCATTCCCCACAGATCTAATGCTTTCTTTAGATCCATTTTTGTGAATATTTCAGTCACATATTGCATCTGTTTCATGATGAAGGCATATAGTGTTTCCATTTCTTTTTGCTGCTGATTATTTTTATTAATAAACCAACTTTTCTTCATTCGTTTCATGTTTTTTAATTTGCAAAGGGAAAATGTGAACAAAAACAAATGGATGGAAACAATGTAGTGATGCTTGTGAGTTTTAAGGACTTTGTTACTGTTATCACACATGGCTGATACATTTTCAAATCAAAGCTTTGAGCAGCTTGAACATATCTTTATTTATCTCCGTCGGTGGGAGACATTTTCAAAGTATCTGCATGATTCTGGGAAAATATTAGCATCACAATTATCTTGCTTAGATTTGGGGTCATTCATTTAATAGTTTTTTCTATTTACTTGACTACTTGACTCCCAGTTTTCTGCTACTATGCACAATTAGCATTGGACTAATGTCGTGTTAGTATTGGTTGAGGGAGAAATCAAATATGAAGTAGCATTATGGGGTGCTTGAGATTCTTTGGGAGAAAGAAGTTTAGAATCCAGCAGAATTGTCAATATATAGCATAAATATATATATAGCACGTATATAGCTGTGTATTGAGATCCTAGGTTTAAAACGATTAATCATGCAGACTAACTGAAGCTATCTGCATCGCTTTAAACCAATAAAACAAAAGAATGTTTCATGAGATTTGAGTGAGTACCTGAAAATTGCCCTCAGGCATGGCAACTACTTCATAATCTCTGCCTGTGACTTAATCAATCAAGCTTCGGCAGCTTCATAATATCTGGTGTTACAGCTCAATGATGCATGACCCGTGGCACAGGATCTACTCACTTTCCAGCAGCGTAAACCTCTGCTGTGTCAAACAGATTGATGCCATTTTCATACGCCAGAGTCATCAGCTGCTCTGCCATCTGTTGAGAGCAGGGGAGAAGGAAGAGCAGAGGGAAACAATAGGGTGAGAGATCACTCATTTGAGGTGTTGGCACTATTCAAATATTAAAATGTCCCTTCACAAGACTACAGAATGATGTTGGGGGTTTACTTTGGTATAACATGTTTATTCTCTGGCTGTCAAACTTGCAGCGTGTTGTTACTAAAAGTAAAAATAGTGTCTTGAGCAATCCAGGATATGCCAGATCATATGGATGGTTTCCATTCCCAAACCCTGATTGATGGAAGATGACAAAACCCATCTGTTCTCACCTCATCTGTTATCTGTCCGCCAAAAGTCACCCATGTTCCTAAAGAAGATGACAGGGGATGGTTGTCAGTGTAAGTACACAAACACACCAAACACACATGCAAACAGATGAGCCAATAAAGACTGAAACCACAGTGTATGTACTGTTTTATAACTTTTGCAGTTCTAGAACTTGCTTCTATATTATTTACTTCCCCCCCACACTGAGTTAACACTCTTCCTTACAATCTGCTATACAAAGTTATTTGTGTGCAGAAAACTTTTCAGTGTTTCTAAGAATGGAAAAGACGCATACCTAATCCAAGGCAGGACACCCGCAGGCCCGACTTCCCAAGGTTTCTGTCAAAACAGAGAGAATTATTCACATTAATGCAGCACTGAGGTGACAGTGATTTGTGATATTTTGCACTGTGGTTGTGGCTAAGACCATTAGAGAAGGATTTAAAGCCTTGTATTCAACCTTGATTGGCCGATAAATCTAATAAAAACCCTATCACACTTTTGTAATGGAAGAAAAGTCTGTTCTGAAGGTTTCGACTGCAGTAGACGCTTATAGCCATGGAAGATATGAAAAAAAGCTTTGTGTGGATTTGAAGCCTGGACCTACTTCAGCACTGACACACATCGAGTGGATGTGTAGGGAAGGACAGTAACAGGAGCTGACAATGAGAATGTGTGTGTGGGAATATGCAGTTTATGTATGTGTTTGTAAGAAATGTAAGAGAAGAGGAGAAGAGAAGGAGTGGGACTTAAACAGGCCCACCGTGACATCCACTGACATTTCACACAACACACCAGGATCCCTCAGCCGCCATCTGACTAAAATCCCCTACAGCAAAGCGGAAGCACGACGACTCACAACAGCTAAAGCTGGCATCTCTGAGCCTATCATGGTCCAGACAGGCAGCTCTGCCGACAATCACAGATTTGGTTCTTTTATACAAGCTTTATAAGTGCTCCGAGATGCCTTTGGATCCTGGTTAAGAGGCAACATCATCACACATTTGGTATTTGGTATTGGTTTCAGTTGATTTTTCCCAAGAGTATTCTTTCACACAAAAAGAGGACCATAGGACTCTTATGGGCTCACATTTTTTTCCAAATATATCTGATGTAAGAAATTATTAAATAAACAAAATGAAATGTGCTACTTCTGCTACCTCCTGCAAGAGATACGCTGGCAGTGTAAAACGATTAAAAAAATGTGTCCAACAGGGATGATGTAACATGGGCAGGAGTCAAAGTAAGCGTGTGGGAGGACAACTCATATATTTTTATAAAACTGCCTGTATAGAAATATAGTTGAAATGAAAAGGAGCAGAGAAGAAGACAGGGGTTATATGTGTTCTGTGAGTGTGTACGTATCCAGATGTGTCTGTTACATCGCTCTGCCTGTGACTGTGTGTGAGTATGAGTGTGTGTGGGTGTTTTGTGAAGCCATGATAAGACTGTTGAATTGCTGCAGTGACTAACAAAACCCTTATTTCAATGTGGTCTGAACACCAAGTCCAAAACCACTGACTAAACTGTTTAAAATAAATATGTAAATCTCAGCAGTATCGCACAGCCTCAAAGCACAGCAGGCTAAGTGGTCTACATTTGTGTTGTTACAGAAACAAAAACAAGCTTTTCAAATGCTTTTAAGTTTTCACTTTTTGATAAATCTACTTTCGTAGAGTTAATCCACTTAAATGTTCACAACATCATCAAACATCATTAGTTCCACTCTTATTCCACTGAACCTCTCCAGAGGATTAAAGAGTCTCTCCCCTTTCATAATATATACTTTTTCTTATATCGAGAAAGCATATCGCAGGAAAAATCTACCATTTCTGGATCCGTCTGGGATTTCGGTGTGACTGAGAAACAAAGAAATTACATCCGCTTCATGTATTTTCCAAGTAAAGCTACTTATTTTCTACTAAGGGCCTCATTAAAAAGATCTGTAATGGTCAGTGAGGTCTGTAATCGTGTTATAGTTTCAATCCAAGAGGCTGATGACGACATCTATAGGAGCCCACTGACTTATACTCAAACACAGTCGCTTGTAAGGGAGAGAATGAGAGTGATAAGGGAATCTAAAGGGACCACGTGCCCTTACGTTGCACCGCGGTGACAAGGTTAACACAAGTCCCCTCTGGCAAATCACTGGAGCTGATCTACAATTAACTGGCTCTTAATTGCATGAGGAAAATACCCCCTCAGGGAGCTGCTGCTCTACATCACTTACAGAGATAACCAAAACCAAAAGCAGCTTACTGAGTGAAAATGATTCGTGGAGCATGTTTGTGTGTTTTTAAAGATGGACTGAGCGTTGTGTCGTATGCAAGAGCAAAATATCTTCACTAATAACTCGGTAGGTTGTAAACACAGTGGGTTTTGGTTTCTAAATCACAGTTGTGCTCCTGTATGTTTAGCACAGAGCATTTCAAGCCTTACACTGTTCCAGATTTAAACACCTAATGTGATGAAATGAATCCACGTTGCTTATAATGTTAATACACAGAGCTTGTTGTGTGCCACTGAAATGCATGCATATTAAACTACTCTAATTAGATAAAGTGAGAGCAACTGTCATAACATGCTTCTAGAGTTGCGTCTTTTTCATCAGCATGTGTTGGGGGTTATCACAAAGTGAAGCTTACAGTGTAAGTGTTGCATGAGCATGTTGTAACCATGAACACTGCACAGTGCAGTACCAGTGTAGTTAAGCTCTTCCTCAATCCTAAAAATAAGTAACAGGGATATCAGAATGCACAGCTCTGCCCTTGCTATTGTTCGCATTGTAATGGTGTCTCTTTGTCAGCACATTGTTGCATTCAATATTTTACTAGACTGGCCTTGAATATTGCATTGTGTGTTACTGCGATGACCCCTCTGCCAGGCCTAGTGAGCATGCAGGGTTCAGGTTCCCGCTGAGCTTCAGCAGACATGAGCCGCAACAGTAAAGTCATCTATATCACACCCTCCTCAATAATGAAGGAGACAGGTACAGTAGTGGATCAGCAAACTCACTTCAGCTGCAGGGACACAGCCACTGAACAGAACACATTGTGACCGCAGCACATGGCCAGTATTCTTGTTTACTTAGAAAAACTAGGTAACCTTTCACTGAGGTTGCTGTTAACATCACCCTTCTAATCCAATCAGCACAAAGCCCAAGGGGACGAGGCAAGGCCTTTCATTTTGGTATGTTGGTTTATTTGATTAAGGGCTGGCTTGGAGATCTATTTGGGGCTTGTTTACACACAGATTGCATTACACTTTAACTTGACACAATGAATTCTGCATGTCTAAGTCTATCATTCACTCTCTGCTGCTGACTTTGGCAGCTGTTGCAGAGAGAACTCTGGAAAATACGGGAGCTTTAAGACCTTCCACCAAGGTCAGCATAACAAAAGGAATACCAGATGAAACCCAAGAGAGTCATTTATTATTGATCAATGGATTAATGATTATTGGATTGTTGTCTCTTGAGGCAAAACATGAAATACAAAAGAGACAAAGACAGAAAGTGTGTAAAGATAAAAATAACTAGTACTCCTGTTATGCCTACTACTAGCTGAGCCATTCCACACATTGTACATTGAGTTAACCACTGCTAACTGTATGAATCACCTTGTTAGAATGGCGTTCAAATTTTACTCACATAATACCCCAAAACTTTGGGCAAGAAATAATATTCTTCACTGTGAAATACTATCTACTACTACAGAAGGGAGGACAGAAGGAAAGGTAATATAGATAGCAAGTATTAATATATGATAGTCGTTGATACCTGGCACCACTCCACAACAATCCACAAGAGTTGAAGTATAAACGTGCTTTGACATGTCATCACAATCCCAATAGGCAATAAAGTAAGTGAGTAATCCAAATACATTCAATCTACTAAAGTCATTAAATGTGTAATTTTCTGTGAATAACACCCTCCCCTGTTAATACAAACACTGTGGTGACCCCTTCAGATCAATCAATACAATTTCAACCACACCACAGTAATGCCTCCGCCAACCTGTCAAGTTGCACATCACATCAATGTCAGTCCAGATTCACATAGTACAAGTAGTGAAGCCTCAGTGTATGAATGTTGGAGTTACAGCTATAAACACATTTTGTGAGGTCACAATAACCTTTGACCGGCAAACTCAGATCATCCTTGAGTCCAAGTGAACATTTGTGCCAAATTTGAAGAAATTCTCTCGAGGCGTTCCTGAGATACTGTGTTTACGAGACTGAGATGTAAAGAGACAGATGTAAGGAAAACTCACATTATGCCTGTAGCTACAGTGATGCACTGATGTGGAGACATGAAAACGCCTGATGGATAAACAGATATACATTACTCTCTACAGACTTGGGAAAATAATGTCATTTTGATCTACTAAAAGAGTCATTTTTATTTTTAGTGATTTGGAACAAATTGGACCCAATTCAAATCAACCGTTGCCATGGTAATCTACTTTCAAATAGGTATTCATAATGTTATTATTTTCTTTTTGTATAACATGGGGCAGATTATCAGACTACTTCCTTTTTCAATTTATTTCTGTTACAAGAAATAGAAATGTAGGATTTGTCTAAGCAGAGATATGTAGTTAGCCGAGTGCCATTTTACAGCATTTATGCATAACCACAAAAATCCCATTAGTCCATGAAATAAGAAATAGTAATCCAAAGATATTCATTAAGAATCAACATTAATTATTATGTTATTCTTAGAAAAGAACATTTTTAATTTCTGTTCACCACAGCTCTAATCTGACATAACGTTATTTAGTAAATCAGAGCTGCTAAAAATCTGCATGCTAACAAAGTTAGCTTTATAGCCACAAAATGGTATTTGGACAGCCTCATCAGAGTGTCAACTAAATATTGATCCTTTCCGGGTTAGTCTTTGTTCTCCAAATATTTCAAAACCCAAAAATATTTACACAGTACAGTGAAGCTCAAGCTGCTTGGAGGAGGAGGACTGAGTCGGAGAGATGGTTTAAAGTGTTTAAAGGGTGAAGTCGGCGGACAGGACACGATGATGAATGAGCAAACAAGGTCACAGAGAGCTGTAAAGAGAAACGTGTTGAGAGGTATGTTCGCTGAGCTGGACTATTAATACTACCTCAGCCGTGGCTTTAACTTGGGAAAAACACAGGCTGAATTCCACTGGCTCGTGGTAGCTGCAGGTGGTTTCCTCCTCCATTCAGGTTTATGTAACATCCATTCCACATAAAGGAATGGAAGGGGGGAGGGAGGGAGGGAGGGAGCGACCGAAGAGAGATATTGGATTAAAATTGTCCTGACTAGGCAATAACAAAGGAGAATCCACTCTGCCCAGAAAAGCT